TCGGCAGATTTGGTCAAATTTTTTTGCAGCTGTATAAGGTCTGTCCTCGAATATGCGTGCCAATTATTCCATAGTTCCCCGCCACGAAATCTTGAAAAAAACATTGAACGTATACAGAAGCGAGCAATGAAAATAATATTCTATGAATTGTCTTACGACGAGGCTCTTAACATCGCTGGTATTTCCACTCTTGAAAACAGACGGGAGTATCTATCCAATAATCTCTTCAGCGACATTGTTTTAAATGATGATCATAAACTTGCCAAACTTTTACCATCCAAAGCAGGCAATAGAGAATTACGAAAAGAAAGATCTTTTGAAGTTTTACCAGCAAATACAAATCGTTTCGGAAACTCTTTTATCAACTTTTATGCTAAGAAACATTACAAATTAGATGTTCCTTGAACATTTTAGAATTTTTAACTCATATAGATTAGTACATTCAAGTATATGATATATAGTATATATTAACAATTTTTAAATTGCATTGTAATATAGAATTTTTTACTATTTATAACCTTGTAACACTTAACGTCATGTAATTCAGTTTTCTGACTGCCAGATGATGTTTTTATTAAACAAACTATTCATTCATTCATTCATTCATTCATTGAACAACAACAACAAATTACTATTTCTAAACTTTTCTCTGATCCTTTTCTTATCCTTTTCTAATCTAAGCTTTCGCTGCTTATATACTGTCCGAAAGATATTTATAGAGCATTACATAAACACTATTTTTAGATACTACGTATCAGCATAATGACGTAATGTCTTAATTTAAGAATGTTCTGACGTGACTGACTTCACGTCACAATAGCCACAAACCCTGGTTATAAGGTATACCGAAATCTGGCGTACTTTATAGCCACAAGCCGTGGTTATAAAAGGCATGCTGAAAACAGGGGTACAGTTTTAGTTCTGATTTTGAATACGTTTCGTTTAGCTTCCCTGTATCCTCCGTTATTGGAACAACATTCAGAAGTCGTACGTGGAGCATTCAACATTTTACATCTCAGAAAATGCCTCTACCGGCGTCGCCCTATGTGATCCCATGACAAGCCCGCCGTCTGAGGTGATCGCAGCCTCAGAATGGCAAGTCGTTGCCAATATTGCTATGACATTTGATGAGAGCGAAATGTCAAGGTATGGTGAATCTTTAAGGTGTCATTGTTACGAGAAAATCTTCTACTCAGTTTTGGTATTAAAGGAAGATATATACAAAAATCATGCTATTCTAAAATAGTAAAATGAAACCATTCTCGTCCCCAGAGCCATTTCACTCGGTCGCTCGCTGAAAATTAAGTTCCGGGTTAGACGACTGAAGGGAGAGGTCTGATTGGCTTCTCAGAGAACTGCTATTTCGCAGAAGTTGAGCAATTTTCGCTGGGCAAAATTATTCTGGTCAACATTTGTCAACACAAATACTTCGTTTCTTCGTAATACTTCACTGTGAAAATTGTTATGGGTGCTAACGTTCCTTGCAAGATCTTTCCTTACATGGAAGATCTTGGATTTTTAGGCTTGTCCAAAGCGATTTTTACTCAATCTGACCTTTCTATCTCTATTTTCTCTATAAATAAGCTTCCTAAAGCAATCTTGACATTCCGCCATTTCATATGCGTTCTTGTGGGCCCCGAATAGATGTGTCAAACTCATTTTACAGTTGGTTTAGAATGTCCATTTTTTAGTCCCCACCAAATGTAATACGATGTCCTAAATACAAGGATAGTGAAGGTTCGTAAATTAAGTCATTAGACTGATTTAGACGTGGTACTGATAGGCGCGCCTTCGAAACAAAGAAATTTTTCATGCAAAATTGTGATCCCAACAACGTTAAACTAAGAGTTTCACGTCTTTGTAGCAACGTGAATGTTTGTTGCGATGTTAGAGGGGTTAAATTGCCTCATAGCAGACACCAGATCGTTTTTCCCAAACTTAGCCGTTTGTATAAGGTACCGTTATGTTTTCATGCTGACTAAATGTTTGTGGTGTTTTTCTAGTGATGACGATGAGTCGAGTATGTTTTCAGAGAGATCAAATATTCCTTCTCCCATATCAGCAACATCGCTAGCCGCCTGTATGAAGGTTGATTCAATATTTTGTTCAAACCTCGTTCCCAAGTTGTCTCTTGCTGCTACAGTGAACAACATGCAGCTAACAGTTTATAATCATATGGAAAATATGCATAGTGGTAAGGCTTGGTTTTTTATTTAGTTTTATATTGCATCGCCATGTACTATACCATGCAATGCCATACCATGCAATGCCATATACCATACCATACCATAACACACCATACCATACCATACAATACCATGCCATACCATACCATACCATACCACACCACACCATACAATACCATGCATATTATACCATACCATACCATAACATAACACACCATACCATACAATACCATACATATTATACCATACCATACCTTAACATAACATAACACACCATACCATACAATACCATGCATATTATACCATACCATACCATAACATACCATAACACACCACATCATACAATGCCATGCATATTATAGCATACCATACCATATGACACACCATAGCATACAATACCATGCATATTATACCATGCCATACCATATCGTACCATACCAAGGTAACCATACCATCTCAAACCATTAATAATTCATGAGTAAATTATCCAACCATTTCGCTCACATGATAATATTGGATACCTGGTGAAGTATAATGATACAGTCCTAGGACTGGATACAGACGATTGGATCAAAATTAATTCACCCCACTTTAATTTATTATTTATTCGCACGAGATGTCATTTCAAATCATCCAATTCGGCTTCGACTCGGACTTGATCAAACTGCGCGGACTTGAAATCTAGTCCAGTCCTCATGGTCGGATTTGAAATATTACTGTCAGATATTGATCAACTCACATACCTTTCCCCCTTTAGCTATTGCTGAGAAGTTTAAAGGATACACTTTACAAGATGAAATCCCCAAATCGCAAGAGAATCTCCGCGTTATGGTTGAAAACTCGGCTATATTCATAAAATCATGGCCAACAGACACCATGCAATGCCTCGTCTGGAGTAATGCTCATGCAGATGTACTCGATTACCGCGAGTTGAGGTGGAAGTCACTGCTAAGCCCAGTTGATTTGACATTAGCTTTTGTCAAAAGCAACAATATACAGGTTTGTATATGTTTATTAATTGTGTATGAGAATATTAAAGAAAATATTAGGACAATGAAATTGTCCAAATTGTCAGTCCAATTCAACCTCTTTGCACCTTCATCCCCAAAATGTACTACAGTCATTTGAGGTTCATATTGCTATCGAAAATGTGACAATAAGATTCCAACAAGATTTCAAGATTTCTGTAACTTTTAGAAAAACGACAAGACTGTTCCTGAAAATTCTCCAGATTGCTCACTTGATGTAAGCTTTGGTGATATTGTTGTGGACGCAAGTCAAAGCAGAATTCACACGCTGTCTGGAGGCTTACTGGCATGGCAAGATAGCGAAGATCCTGTGTTGAGCCATTTTATCGTTTGTAATAACACAAACCACGCGATCAAATTTGGACAGGTACAGTGTATAATGCTTGTCGGAGAAGTGATTACGTTTGTCTTTCCGTTAGTAAACCTATGTTAAAGGGTATCTGGGCACAAAATTTGAGTAATTGAGAATGTTTATACTGAAAAAACCTTGAAGGGAAACGGCAACATATATTTTTTTATTTCACTTGAAAGAACTTTTAAAATTATATGCCAATCTCCTTTACCATTTATTCGCATCTTGCTTGGTTTTTGAAATATTTTCACTTAAAATAATTTGCTGTCCGCCATCTTGGATAAATTTTATCTCATCGGTGATTTTAGCGACGTCAAAAGCAGGGTTAGCCATATAAAACTACATCTAAATGACCAAATAACAGTAAGTCTTGTTTGAAAAGTCGACTTTGACCAAATCTTTAAAAATATTTTACCAGCTTGTGACGTCATAGATATGTTCATTTGCATGTTGAAACAACAACCCGAAATATCTCAGGAACGAAAAAATATAAAGTAAAGTTGTAAAATGACTTATTTTACAGTTTAACGAGTTCTTTCTGTGTAAATAGACTTGAATTTCATTGCCCATACGCTTTAAACATCTTTGGGATTATTATTGTATATTTTTGTATTGAAATATCTCCCGTATTAGCGAGATGTGGACAGGTTTTGGCTCTCAATTGATAAGCATCCTCTATATTTGTCGGCTAAGGCTTATGGTCAGGGGGCGAATGCAAACAGGGATGCCTCTTCTATTTGTGGTTTTGGCCTTTCCTTTCGAAGAGCCTAGACACCGATCTTGATATATTTTTCTAGGATGGCACCGAGGAAAGTATTGTCTTACGAAGTAAAGAACTGACATTGTACAGCTGGTTAACGCGAAATGATTTATGTCATCAGAAGCTACATCTCTGTCTGGACGGAGAGAGCCGGTGGTGTGAGGCGTTTGGTATTGATACTCCAGGAGTAACTAACCGCGCTGTACAATTCAGTTTACATACAGCTACTGTGATTGTTGAAGTTAAGAAAAAATCTGGTTTACAACGGGAGGTAGGTTCATGTATTATTGATTGAATAAAATGTCAAGTAAAATCTCTGTGGGATCTAAATTGAATCAAGGACTCGCACAAAACATAAATGCTGAGAGTCGAACCCAGGCATTGTTGTCAGGTTGTTCACAAAGTTCATAGCTTTATTTATATTTCATATTATTTATGTTGTGAACAAGAATATTTTTGTGAGAATTTTATGAACTTTCTTAAAACAAATAAATGAACAAATAAAGTGGAAGCGTTTTACAGTCAATCCAATTTTTTGAAATTGGGAAAATTTTGAAAATCCATAGAAGGTCATAGAATGGAAATTGTATGTACCTTTATTGGAAATAGAATGGATTTTGGTTATCCATAATAATTGTATATTTCCATAGTATGGAAATAGTATGGAAATAGGATGGATATACTATGGATTTAGTGGTGCAATTGCAAATTTCGTAGTATGGATTTCATTTTTTTTCCAGTGGATGCATACTCATAGTAACATCACAAACATCATTTTAGAGACAATGTTCTTCGGCAATCGTCGGGTTACGTCTGAAACTGATGATTGTTCTGTTCGGCAGTTTAGGAATTGTAATAACGTAGGGTGTCCAAATTCGGTTGGCTTTTTTGCTAAAAATTTGCACATTTTATTGACAGGTTATAATCCACAGCAGTCATGTGGTTCAAAACTATACATCACATGATGTCGAGGTTCAACTTCTTCAGAACCCAGCCTTAACCCAAGTCACAAGTCCTGCTCTTCAGGTATGGAAATTAAGAAGGTCATGAACACGAGTGTCCTATTTAGAACTGTGGAAAACGTTATTACTTAATTCAAAAGATTTAAATGCAGTCTATTCGATTGATTTTCAATTGTTGTCACACCATTTCTACTCTCTAGAATAAACCCTCTAAACTTTTTAAATCTTTTTCGTCACAAACTTTATCTAGATTCTTCACAACATAATAGTTCCTTCCCAGTCCAGCTCGCCTTCATACGTCATCTCTCACGGTGGTCTGGCGGGAATACGTGTCAGATTATGTGGTGAGACGACATGGTCTGGTACACTGCCTATTGAAGACCAGCTACCAAATTTCAAGCAACATTGTGTGGTCCAGGTTTGTTTTTTTTTTGTGTGAAAAATTATGTCCTACAATATGGCACAACCTCAGAAGGCAGCCACCTTCATCATGTACTATTTGAAACACAAGCAGGCGTGCTTTATCAGATATTTCAAACACTCATTAATAATTCATAAGCTTATTGGCAAATCATGTCAACCATAATATGTCACGTGCAGTGGCTTTAAACCTAATAAAACACTCCTGCTAGTTTATTAAACAGTACAAAATACGAGGCGAATATATCTGATAAAGCATGCACTGCGAGTGTTTTAAATGGCTTAAAAAACACCCCCCATCTTATGAGTTCATTGGCGAAGTAATTTTAAAATCAAAGTTGTCTGAGCCAAGAAAATAAAAAAAAAACTCATTGATATTATAAAATATTTATTATTGTCAGCTTTCTACACCATATATACAATTAAAATAAGACTAAAAAGGCGATTTCAAACAAGTTTCGTCCTTCGGACCTTTTTAATAAATCGCCATATTGTAAATAGATAAAAACGAATCATCATCTTGTCAAGAAAATATATTTAAAAAACTCATTAATAATTCATGAAGAAAACACAAAGAAAAATCATAAGCGTGTCGTATCTGTATATGTGATACAGATTCATGTTGATTTACATAAACTTTAACTTTGATTTTCTCGGCTTAGACAACGTTTATTTTCAAAATTACTTTTTTAAGTTTTCAAAATTCGTTTTTTAAGTTGTTTACAACATTCGCGTCCGTGTTGTATCGGATATACAAACTCTCGCCTTCGGCTCGAGTTTGTATATCCGATACAACACGGCCGCTCATGTTGTAAACATTACATCTAACAGAGTAGTTAAAAAGTTCTTACAGTGTTTCAACGTGTGGCTTTTACGTACGCACTTTAAAATTTACTTACGTTGTGTCATTTCTTGCCTTCCTAGATGTTAGGGACAAAAGAATTCAAAAATTTCTACATTTGGTATAACGCTGTCTGCGTTGACGCGCTTATTGGACAGATTGAGGTATGTTTAGGTCAAGCCTGTGATCATTTCAACTTGCCCAGTTAATCTGTATACTGCTGTTTGAGGTTGACGAGCCCTGCCCATTTCATATCACATCTATTTTCAAAATTGCGCGACCAGGGCAAAATGTGTCAGGTGACGAGTTGACATGCCAGGTTGTTTACAACTTTGAGTCTGCCTCGTACCCAGGCGTCTCTTTGTAAAAAACAGCGATGCGCGTTTTGGTACAAGGTGTTAACAACTTGTAACAAGCTTGACGACATTATCAGACTTGTTACAAGGTTATTCTAACAAGTCTGATACAGTCGTGATATAACAAGAATGTTACAAGGTTGACGACACAAGTTTGTAACAATATTGATATTTCATGACTGTATCGGACTTGTTCGAACAACCTTAGTACAAGTCTGATAATATCAACAAGCTTGTAACAAGCTGTTAACAACATGCTACAAATCTGATAATATCAACAAGCTTGTCACAAGATTGTTCTAACAAGTCTGATACAGTCATGATATAACAAGAATGTTACAAGGTTGATGACACAAGGTTGTAACAATATTGTTCTTTCATGACTGTATCGGACTTGTTGGAACAACTTTGCTACAAGTCTAATAATATCAACAATCTTGTTGCATGCTGTTAACAATTTGTAACCAGATTGAAGGCATTTTCAGACTTGTTACAAGGTCGTTCTAACAAGTCTGAAACAGTGATTATGTGACAAGAATGTTTCAAGGTTGACGACACAAGGTTGTAACAATATTGAGATATCGTGGCATTATCACACTTGTTACAAGGTTGTTCCGTCAAGTCCGATACAATCATGGTATAAGAATATTGCTACAACCTTGTCTCGTCAACCTTGTAACATACTTGTTATGTCATGTCTGTATTGGACTTGGTTGGAAAAACCATGCTACAAGTCTGATAATGACAAGAAGCTTGTCACAAGCTGTTAACAACTTGTAACAAGCTTGATGGCATTATCAGACTTGTTATAAGGTTATTCTAATAAGTCTGATACAGTCATGATATAACAACACTGTTACAAGGTTGACGAGAGAAGGTTGTAACAATATTGAGATATCATGACTGTATCGCACTTGTTGGAACAATCTTGCTACAAGTCTGATAGTATCAATAAGCTTGTACAAGGTGTTAACAACATGTAACAAGCTTGATGGCATTATCAGTATTGTTACAAGGTTGTTGTAACAAGTCTGATACAGTCGTGATATTACAAGAATGTTACAAGGTTGACACACAAGTTTGTAACAATGAATGTTACAAGGTTGACGACATAAGTTGTAACAATATTGTTATATCGTGACTGTGTCAGACGTGTTCGAACAACCATGCTACAAGTCTGATAATATCAACAAGCTTGTTACAAGATTGTTCTAACAAGTCTGATACAGTCATGATATAGCAAGAATGTTACAAGGTTGACGACACAAGGTTGTAACAATATTGAGATGTCATGACTATAGGGTTGTTGTTCTTTTACTTTGTACATATATCTAGCTTATTTTTGGTTCAATACACTGTAGAAGTCTTTTATAAATTTTAATGGCTATTTTTAATACACAGCCCTCGTGGAAAGCAGGTGTAGAGATAACTTTGTAATCATTGTAGTTTTTGTAATATAGTTTAGTTAATGTATATTTGTAAATCCTGATGAGTAATACCGTGCCTAAATAAAGTTTTAATAATAAAAAATAATAAAATATCCTTTGTTTTTAGCACTTTGCTTGAGGAAAACTAACATTTGAAAAGTATGTGCCTTGTTTACTTATTCTAATATTCCTTGCTCCTTCTTTAGATATCATTTTCACCTTTATTCATCGTCAAAAACTACCTTCCTCAGACCATTGAACTGACAACACGATCCTCTTCCGCTGACGTCACCACTACCCAAGATGCACCGGGCGAAGCTAAAGAACATCAACTGTTTGACCTTCCGCCTGACTCGTGGCATTACGTCACTTTCAAACTACCTCATGCTAAAGTCTCTTCTAATCCCTCTGTGCCCCTCAATACCACCCTTCACGAGCTGACTGACAAAATAAAGCGAGGTGATGAGCGTGAAGAAATGCCAAATTCAAAATGGCCGTTTTCATCTAACTCTTGGAAAACGTAA